GTGACTGCGTTCCCGCTGCTGGCAGATGACTGAGAACCGATGTTGGTCAGCAAGACCCGTACGTCCAGGTGCCCACAAACATCCGCTGCCTTGCTGTAAAGGCACGAGATGAGAGTGGACACATCCACTACGGGTGGAATAAAAACCGGCCAAGGCTGGTTTCCATTTGCCAGATTAAGTCCGGGTTGGAGGTGGACGTACAACGTGCGCTCTACTAGCTGCGAGGCATAGCTAAGCACCGGAGCGATGCGCAATGGGAGTGTATGGAGAGGAGAGGTCAGCACCAGGACACCTGTGCTGAACATCGACATGATACTGGTTGGTGGCACCGAGATATCACAGCTGCGAAAGGATGACAATGAAAAAAGTAAGTACACAGTATTGGACAAAAAACCATGAATAACTACTGCACACAAAAAATTAGCAGTTGGAGAATAATAATGTTACATAACAATTATATAATGAACATAATCGTTAGCCATGTAATGTAACCGTGAGGGATTCCCATCACTGTGTAAAATAATTTCCAACAGTGGGTCACATTGCTAACTGGTGGTAATTTGGTTCACTAGATATTTAATGCAATGTTATGCATGAGTCGCTGATCAATAAGGACTAAATATTTTAGTCCTTATTACATGAGTCGCTGATCAATAAGGACTAAAATATTTTTAATGCATCACTTTAACTTCACTTCATGGCTTCACACTGCATTTACTAATATGGAACATAAGGATCAACTCAGAGTTTGTTGTACAGATTAAGGGGAGAAGTGCAGTCAACATACTTTCCCCCTCTGTCTCTCTCCTGCTGATGTTGCAACCCTATCATTACAATGTAACCACAGACTTGGGGCTGAAGGCCAGTTCTGTGAGTCTTCTGTTTTATAATGAGCTAGTGTGTGGCTGCAGTTGCAAACAAATATGGCTGTCTACCAATGTGGTGCAGCTGGCTAGCTTTGCTAACAGCCACTGTGCAAACATAAGATTAGAGAAAAATCTTTCCTATCCTGGACAGATTTAAAAAAAAAATCATACTTAATGAGTTGCAGCACACCACCCAGGAATTAGCCCACCTGGCCAGTGGGTGGGGCCTCCCTTGCCTCAGGGTTGTTATGGTGACACTGGCCAAATGGTCCACGGATTCAGGGTGTTTACTACAGATGATCTCTCCTAAAAAAAGAATCAATAATAATGAGTAATACAATCACCACTTCTCAAACCTTAAATAGAATTTAACTTGTAAACTGAATACTTGTGTAGCTCTCCAGGAATGGAAATAGGCCAAACACGTAAATATAGGTCATAAAATATAAGAATTGACAATGACAAATAAACAAATAGGAAAGCTAAAACCAGATCACGCTATTGGTTGCTGCTGCCGCCGCTGACATTGACAAATCAGAGAACACATTGTTTAAACGTGACTACTTCTTGTTAAAGGGCTGTCAACTGGAATCAATTCAGTTTAAAGCCAGCTGTCAACGGGCGTTACCAAGGTCAATGGAAATGACATGTATATACGATTTGAAGTGTTGTCATGTTTCTCAAACAAGCAGCAGTTTGCAGTTATTCACCGACATGGACGTCACGTCGTAACTAGCTAGCTATCTAGCACTACTATTATCACTCTGCTAAAACAGTCTGGATAAAACATGTAAATGCTCCTGCAGAAGCACACTCCCGGCCTTGTTAGGAACCTCACAGTGTTGACGCATTTGTAGATGTTTGCAGAGCAGCATTAATCTCGTGCAACAGAAATAAGCAATGTTGTAGTTTGTCTAGAACTTACCAACTTACCGTGAAACACGCATAACTGGCGGCGTGTGTTATTAATGTTTTTCTCGTTAGCAATTAATAGCCCACATTCCTAGATTTTTCAGAGATAGGCACTATGGCATAGTAAGTCCTCTTCCACATACACACAGCTCAACGGTCAATCCCTCCAGTGGCGGATCCTTGCACGTATGAGCTGCACTGAGATAGGTAGGCACGTGACATTTAGCTGCCGCCTGATTGGGTGAGTAAAGAACACGCCCCGCTGCTGTGTTTTTTTCAATACAATTGAAGAATGTTTTATTTACAACAGTAAAAAATATCACTCATTAAAAGAAAAATATACCAGGATGGTTTCCAAGATTTGTCGTTGTCTTTTTTAACATACAAACGAACAAAGACACGCAGATTAACGTGTAGGATTTAGCAGCGTAAACTAGTCAAGTTTCAACTTGCATTTTTTTCATTGGAAATGTATATACAATTATTATAAATTATCTTTTAAAATAACAGGAGTTATAGAGTACAAAACTGTTGGGAACCAAAGCTACTGTTAAGTAACTCTGTTGAACCAGTACAGAAGGCATAAAATACATATGTAAACATGCATATTGATACTTATGTAGAATCTTGTGAAACCAGAAAAGCTCCCTATTCTATGTAAAGAAAGGCTTTAGTATTTAGTTTCTCTAAATATTGCTAGACTATTCAGAAAATAATTTTTTAAAAATTCCTAGTTCAGTATAAAACCTACTTTAAAAAAGCAAAAATCCTAAGGTGTTGTTTTTCTCTAAAAGAACAACTTCCTAAAGGTTTAACTTTATTATATTAAAGTTGTACCACAATAACACCACTCATCAGTATAATTATACTGTTTACTCTGACCGTATATAACCCTGTTGTACTGTGTCTTGCTTGTACATTATTTACATTTGTATCCTTTTTTTCAGGAATTCATTACTTCTAAAAAAGTTATTTTAGCAAGTTGTTAAAGTATCTATTGACCCAACAACATACAATTCTTTCACAAAAAAACCAAACCAAAGCACACAATGACTCTTGATTATATTTAGTTTTAATTTATAACGCTCAGGCCACAGTTTTTACAAAAATAACAAAAAGAAATCAAACCTTTTCTGTAGAAAGAGTTGCATGATGGAGCCCCGTGTTTGGCCGGGCAAAGGCATTGCATAAGTCACAATAAAAGGACACCAACCAGTAAGACAATATAGTTTTAAGAAGGTCAAGGAATTGAAAAGAAATCAAATGAATTACTGAAAATTAAGACTTGCTAGTTTTTACTTTTGGTCAAAGAGTCGAGAGGAACCGGTGCAACACAGTCCTTCCTAACGACCCTCAAGTTTGTGACAGCAAAGTGCTCAGTCAAAATTAGGTCGGCTGTGAAATGTGATGGAATTTGTAATGCAAATGTCAGTGGGTAGCCTGCTACATCAGGCATGACATCTTCAGCCGGATAAACAGAGATGTACATCTTCTGCTCAACTTAATTCAGTTGCTCGAAATGTAGGAAGTCGAAATGAATTAATTGACTTTCTTTTCGCTGGTGCTTTCAGTGGCAGCTGTATCATAATGGCACTTCTCCACACATCTTCTCGGAAACCATCCACGTACTCGCTCTCCCACTAAGGGCAACAGAGAGAGAAAAAGTTCTTTGACTGTGAATTTACAAAATGCAATTACAACAATGACAAGTCATTTTGGGCTTTACCTCTCATTTGTGCCTCACTTAAAACCTTGTCCCCATACATCCACCATCTATAAATATATAATAATAATAATATCAACAATAAAAAAACAGAACAAAATGAAAAAAATGTATTTGTTTTTGCATAACTGGACTTACTTGGTCCCACGAGTTGCTAATATGATGTCACCCTTGCTCAGAGGAATCCTGGGCTCCTCGGTGCAGGGAGTTCTGAAAAAAGTTTGGAGACCCTTGCTGAGTGGGCAGCAGGCTCCATTATAATCCTCCACTGCCTGGTACTGGACCTGCTGACCAAAACATCAGAAAAATCTGGGTATTTTACCAGTATTAAAAACAATATCAATAACATTGGGAGGTATAAAGCAATATCTATATATTTTAATCGCTATACTCACAATACGTAATTGTTTCTGAGGCAAAATTAGTTTTGCTAAATTTATTAAAAATATTATTTAAAAACAATGACATGGCATTCATGTATTGTACTGCTCATACACGCAGATAACTGTTTCTAATTCAGGTAATCCCACTGAATACGAATTGGGACAAAATAAAAATTGTGAAAACGATTTGGCGACTCCTTCTGGAGAGACAAAGTAATGAAAGGCATCCTCCGACATATTCACTCACATGAGTGAATAATTCTCAGTGATAAATAATAAATCTCAACACTGTTTACAAAATTGCAGATCATCAGTGCATATAAATATGAAAGCCATGTCTGTCATATTAAGTCCAGGTTAAAACTTGTTTTAGCATTTTCTAAGTTAAAAATACTTACACTTCTCACGCGCTTGTCAACTTTCTGCTTCAGTTGCTCAATCTATTAACAGAAGAACAAAAAAAAAAAAAAGCAAATTAATCCCAGTGTAGACCATGCAAATATATCCCACTGTTTAGCATCAACATTATTCAAATTAACTCATAACAGTACAGTATAAAAAGGTCCAAAAGTTGTTTTTTACACAGATTAAAGGAAAAACATGTGAGTGGAACAATCTGAACATACAGTTAAGGTGTGCTGGTGACACTTGGGATGGACTGGCCATTCCTTGCCATCCCCCTTGGGCATCCCTGACCAGGTGAAAACTTGCTTGAAGTTCATCCATCGAGTGCCCAGGTCGTAGGGGAAGATAAATTCCTCCCCTGTTTGGTAATGCTGTATCCTGTCTTTGGCCTGGGGAAAAAACACAGTAAATGTAAAGAACTTTTAAAAAAATCAGCACAACATTCTGTAGAGACAGGAAACACATCAGATTGCACTAAAATACATCATACCATCAGTATGCAAAACAAATGAAACTCTCTGACCTTTTCCTCGATCCATGACTCAATCGAGGTCTTATTTCGCAGGATGACTTTCATCTGAAACAAATAAACGAATTAAGTCAGAATTGATACCTTTGGGATTGAATAAATTGATTTGGAATTTCTTAAAACTATTTGAAATTTATTTTTGAATTAACACCACTTTTAACACCACAAATTTATTTTTGAATTAACACCACTTTATCAGATTTTGGTGATTTTTCATTTTCAAATGAAAACTGAACTAATGAAATGGTGTGGTTTTAGTACCTGTATGACAAACAGCATGCCGACAGAAATAGTGGTACCCAGTGCCAAGCCTAAAGCGAAGAGTGTTGCAGCAAAGGCGGGCACACTGAAGGGCATGATGGGCTGGAACTGATGCACAGGACTCATGTCGATCTTCACAGTGCTCCAGCCAAATGATATCTGTGGTGAGAACGAACATGCTGTTAAAACCTAGGATAAATTCAGTGTTCGTACTACGGTGAGACACAACTGACCCTTTCGTACAGCTGTGTGTACATTGTCATGATGAAGATGATGGCAGCGTGGGAACAGCCCAGAGGAGCCAGTAGGAGGAAACTGGTGAAGTAGGCGTGGTTCAGGTGGCCACAGCAGTTGTTGATCCAGGGGCAGTGGTGGTCCATTTTCATCACACACCTGAGGGAAGAGGACGTGGACAAGTAAAGGGACCTGAGGGAATCAATGTTTCTTCGATGAATAAAGAGTGACGAGTTAAGCAACAGTGCTCCCCTTTTTAGAATTGAGAACTGTATCGAGTTTTAATACAGTAGGTCAGAATGATGGAACAAAACTTTAGGTCGAGAATGTCGTAAACCAAGAACCCCTGTAGTCATATTAACCTATGCTTGTTGGACAATAAATGTCATTACCTGTTACACTTGCGACAATGGTGGGATCGAGGGGCTTTGTATCCCTGGCACACCCTGCAATATTGTAGGTATTGCATGTCCTGTTGATTCTCCTGTGCCAAATTTAGAAATTTGTCATAATTCGTGTGCAGCTGTCAATGAAAGAGTCATTGTTTTACAATACAGAAAAACATAAATAAATAAAAAGTAAATCATCTTTGTTCCTACCGGTTTCCAACCAAGCGGGATGCAACCAGGTCCAATAAACATAGCATTGAAGTAGTTGTACAGGATGAGTATGGTCCAGTTGATGAGCATAATGAAGTTAATGTTGCCTCCTGTCGTATCCAGAGGCCAGTACCAGATAACAGAGTCCAGAATTGCCATGGTGGAGCAAATGGCAATGACAGACAGAGCAATGATTGGGCCCCAGTGGCACAACCTCCGAACCTCATGGAGGTTCTCAAATGTCAGAAAAGTTGACATGAAGTTCATTGTTTGCCTCCTAACTAGGGCTTCGACTTCTTAAGTGCTTCAACCTAGAATTAATGAAATGTTATTTATTTGCTTTGCTATCTTCCAAAGTCAGCATTGTGTATACAGCACATATTTTTCCTTTTCTTTTGAGGACCCTGTTTTGTTCTGCTGGTCCTGAGTTGCTGTAGCGTCACGTGTCACGGTGTTGTTTCCCCTGGCAAGAAACGGCATCCTCTCCTGACAATCATCTGGGACACTATCCTTGGGACAAAGTCAACATCACCATCTAAACAACACAGAGTGAATAAGACAATTATCAGCACGTTTACCCTCTTATAACATACTGTAAATATATAGATATTTAATTCTAACAATACTAGTAATGTTGGTATTAATCCTAATTTATATGGTTCCTCATTGAATAATATTCTCGACTTAAAGGTCTGTGTTTATGGTAACATGGTGGACCATTTATTTAAAAAGTAAAGAATTATTTATTTTACGTTTGGTAAAATGAACAATTAACACGAAAGCCGTGATTTGTTAGTTATTTGATCAATTCAATAGTTAAATTTGACCAGATTCCTTATGTAACATTCTTTTACTTTAACAGTGTTATTAATACACGACACAGCTGTTGCTCATTTGCTAAAATCCGTCAATGACTGCAATTCCAAGGCATAAACAACTACATGTTAGAGCATATTTCACAATTTAAATCTCTTTTATTACCAGTCTGTTATAACATATCGAGTCGAACAAGCACACATACGCGACCACAACTCGGACATACCATATTTTAATAAGCATAAATAATTCATTCGAAAATAAGATATTATTCTTATGAATGTGTCGCCCAGAATTGACATTTTCTCCATTTAACACCGGCGGCAATAATTAGCATGTTAGCTAGCCTCTTTCCCAATCAGCTTGTCCAGCTGAACATCTGTCAAAAGCAAAAAGCAAAATAATAATACGAGTATCACCTTAAAATAAAACGCAACTACCTTCTGGTACAAATGTGTCTGCTGTGCTTTTGGGTTGATGGAGGGGAGACCTCTAAATCCACAATCAACAAATCCACTTCCTTGTTATTTTCTTCGACTTCTTCTGTGGATGAATGGGAACCTTTTTTCGTTGTGTGTCAGGGATTTGTTACCCCCAACACCCAGTGGGCACGAACAAAGAATTGTAGTTTTTCTTTTCCTGCAAAAAATCTTAAATCTAACCAAAAATAAATATACTGCAGAACAACACGGGGAGCACTTTTTCGGTCCGCATTTAAAGAGGGAAACATAAATTAATATTCACAACCCCGTCGAGCATATTTAACTGTGACTCACGGAAGAACCTCCATTCCGGCTGTGTTGTTGTTATTATTGTGAGCTGTCAACCAGAAATTGAACTATTGCAAACTTCATCATGTCTTCAGACTTTGAAACCTACGAACAGGACTTTGGAACAATTACGGCAGAATTAACAAATAAGATCGGCCGAATTCCTAAACTCAGTGGAGGTAAGGCAGCAGTTTTATTGATTCAAAACGCTTAGCCTGACGTGGCTACAATGCTAACGGTATATATTTCAAGATATTTTCACCAGTTTACAGTTTACTTACATCTTTTAGTTAGAATATTGATACAGTAAACGGTGAACTAGCTACTCTCTTCTAATATATCTTTTATACCAAAGGTGTAAACACAGTTTTGTCTTGAATACCTTCTAAAAATATAATGCCTTCCAAAATGATAATTGCAGAAAATCTCTCACTGGTTCCCATAGGTTAATTTTTGTTTATCTTTATATTCTATTACCTATAAGAACTGTAAAAATATTTTCTAAGTAGACACTTGTGGCTAGTTTAGAGTTGTGTATTTAATGGGTATTATTTGATAATGGATTTTTAAAATATTAGTCATTCATAACTCTGTACCCACGTTTGCATGCAACAAAGTATTTATAATGACAGTGACAGAGAAGCTTTGACAGTGTTGTGTGTGAGGCAGTAATAGAAATGTCCTTAGCTGTGTTTGGATTTAAATAATTTGCTAGAAGATCACACATCTTGATTTGGCTGGTAATACACATGTTAATTATATATAGTATACATGATTTGTATATTGTGCATTTCTGACACAAAAGCAATCCAAAAGACAATGATTGCCATCAAGTCTTTTATAGTACAGAATTGAAACATTGGGTAATTTATTGAACATCTGTGATGTTGGACATGGAGTACACACTAACAGATTTGGAGTGCACACTAACACAACAGTTTCAACAGGTTTTTTAATCATTAAAAGACATCTGAACGCAACAAAAAGTTCCCAATATTGTACTGAAGCTCACTTTTAGACAGTAATCAGTTCACACTACCTGATTGCATCTTTATTATGTTCAGAAAATCAACATTACTAGTCTAATGTTATAAAAACTAAGTCTAAGCAAATATTCAACTATCAAAGATAATGTTTGGCCAGTTTGATAGCTAATTATTATTATTATTATTGAAAGAAATGTTTGCATCATTGATGGGGCCAAGAAACAAACCTTTAGATGGCTAAATGTCAAAGCTGTCAATAAACCTGCTGACATTTTTTATGTGTAAAGGGTCCTTGAATTTCTCAGGGCTTAGAGTCTTTCCTACAGAATTTACAACTGTGTGTATTGTTTATTCTCAGTCTCAAAGACCAGAATAATTTGTACGAATGACCACATGATAAGCATGACACTTGAAAATAAAGAAGCGATTGTTACTTAGGTCACATCATTCTTAGTATGAGAATCATAGCTCAGAGAGAACAGAGCTGGAATTTCATGGTAACTTTTTGACTCCCTGTGTCCCCGAGTGCAAGACATTTCAGCCCAGAAAATTGATTAGCTCAATTAAACGTGAGAAAATGTGCAGCCAGAAGGGCTTCTGTTGTTAAACTACTGTAGTTCAGTGATTCATATGATCTAGTGCTTCTGCTTCTTCTTTTTCTCAGTAGACCAAAGACCATTGGTTGGCCTGAGTGTAATGTTTCTTTGGCCGATAAATGTTTGAACAGGTTCCATTCCAGTGACTGTGAAATGTAATATCAGGGAATTAATAATGGACATTGAAGAGTATCTTACGTTAAATACACCAGCTCAACAAACTTGTATCATTAAGGTTTAAGGGAGTTTTTTGTATCCACATGACCTCCCTTGTGATTTTGTTTTACATTTTTTGTTGTCTCTCACCCCTACTTTATGCACAATCATTCTTATTGGTCTGTTTTCCTATCTAATAATTGACCTGTCAAAAAATGGACATCAGAATCTGATGAGCACAGTGTCAAGTGGCCTCATGCTATTGAGAATTAGGGTTTGTGTTTTTTTATCCCAGTTAGAAATGCTGGCATGAAGTGTGCAAACATGTAAATTTACTCACTTTCGTATCCAGTTTCAGGGCTTCCCAAGAGCATTGCTGAGAAGCACAATTTTACATATTTTTGAACGTAATGTTTTTTGCTCATGAGCAGCTGGGATTGTGCTTCTGGCTGAAGAAAAAAATTCTGCAGGTAATAGTTTACTGCTGCTAGTTATAACTTTGACTACTTCCAAGGCTTACTTTGAATGTTTATCTTCTACCCTGGGCTCACACTTGCTCACTGGCATTTCAAAGACAACTGTCTCTCACAAAACATTGCTTCCATGAATATTTCTGGTTTGGAATTGGCATGTTTGATTCATGGCAGCCCATTCCACAGAGTAAATCCACATTGCTTCCCCTCGCCATCTGTTTATAGTGTCAGAGTAAACCCACATGAATTTATTTAAACAAAGCCAGGAACCACAAGTAGTTTTTCTTTGCCCCAACAGAAGATTGTATAGTTTATTTTAATTCCCTACCCTCTCATTAAGGTTTTTTTTTCCCGATTGCTTTTTTTAAGTCGCTGTTCCTCAATTTCATCCATATTTATCAGCTCAGTTTGTTATAACTTCAGACAATAGGTTTTCAGGGTCCTTGTTGTATCTCTGCCTTGCAAACCAGAAGGTTGGGGGTTAGAATCCAGTTTTTCTTGTCCATGGACAAGAATTTCATCCTGAGGTTAAATATCATACCACTCCTATTTAGTAAACTGTCCTCTGGGGTCAAGTTTTTGTCATGAAGGTTGTATGGCAGGGCCAGAATATTTTTTGACAGACGCCTTGGGGGCCAAATGCAGCCACCAAGCCATTTTGTGTGACCCGCAGGAGTTTAAAAAGCATTTAGTAAAGTCCACGCAGCAGAGTTTCTTAACCTATGAAATTACACAGCAATGAACAATATTTGTAGCTTGAATAAATAGTAATCAATTGCAGAAACATGAATTAGTCTGTTATGCAGTAGTTACATCTATACCAGTGGTCCCCAACCTTTCGTGTTCTAAGGACTGGTCAGCCAGTACCACCCATTACTACAGACAGTACCAAGGAGCTGAGCGTTGAAGGATCATTAAATGTTCAAAATAAAACATCTCTCAGACTCTATTCTGTTTGTATCAGAGTCTGAATGATCTGTTATTTTAAAATATTCCCAGATTATCTTTAAATAAAGAAAGTAAATGGATACGACTGGATTTTCTTTGAATGAAGTAAATTAGTAGCGGCCCGGTACCAAAAGACCTGGAAGATGGACTGGTACTGGTCCACGGATACTTGGGGCCTGCTGTGGCCAGCCTGTTGCAGCAGATCTGCTCTTAATTTCTCAAATGTAGCATCAATAAAAGTTAAAAAAATATTATTCATTTATTAATCATGATTTATCCACAACTATCGTATACTTGTGTTTATAATTATTGCTTTAGTTTTTTAAAAAGAGCAGATATTTCAACAGCTAAACCAAATCTACCTTCCATTGGTAAACTTTCCTGGCACAAAGCTTTTTTACAGAACAAAGATCAGTTTGTTGTACGTACAGAACTGAAGCAGAGTCGTTTCTGCCTAAAGAACAGTGGGATGAACTGTGGTTTACACCAGCCTTTGGAACTCTTGCCAGTCCTAATGAGTTTCAACGGGTAATGTGGAAGAGCAGCCACAGGGTGAGGTGCAGAACGGTGCGTTAGTCATTCCGAGTACAACTCATACCTCTGGCAAGTGAGCAAAGCTGACACCTCACTTCCCTTTGAGTTGGCACGAGGTGTCTCGCTGCTCCTTAACAGAAACCAACAAAGGCCTCACAGACACAAATAACTAAGAGACATCAAATGTTGGCTTGTCGTGTGTAAATATATCTTCAAATGTGTCCTCATGTGTTGTTTCCTCACAGTCTCTTTCTTCCCCTCTCCCCTGTCTCTTCCCCTGTTGTGGGGGAGTTGGGCTGTTGTCATGAATCACTGTTTCTCTGTCGGCTGATCAATATGTTACTGGGTGTTTTGTTTTTTTTTTCTCTTTCAGAGGAGAAGACGCAGCTGGTTCTAAATGTCGACAAACAGCTTGAAGAAGTCAGAGAGTTGGTACGTCTTTGATCAGTAATTTTCCTCTTCCCCCCATTTCCTAAATAATGAATTTGTAGAAGGAGAGAGGAGACGACCGTCACTGGCACCAGACAACAGCACCTGGATTATCCTGCTGTTGACATGACACATAACACACAAGCACACATGTTTTGCATCGTCGAACGGAGGCTTCCTCCCAACATGATTGCTCAGTCATAATCGGCTTTTAAGTGACATGACTATGACACATTTCAAGCCATTATCCGGAGGTGGGAGTCTTCACCGCGCTGTTTAAAAAAGGGAGCAAAGTCACATGACGGAGACAAATTACCAGTGCGATCGTCTTGTTATATCACAGTGATTAGTTTCCTCAAAATCTGCCTCGGAGAGACCTGTCTCTTCACACATCAGATGTACTTTCACCAGATTGAATGTGACAATGGTGGGCCTGTGTAGTCACTGCGCTGAAGACCCCCTCATGTTTAGTTTTGAACACACTTAAAGAATAGACTTCCACTGTCACAGCTGTAATCACGGTGGAGCCATGTGAGCAGAAAACATCTTCTGCTCACTGGAACATATAAAGTTTAATATTTTAAGTCACCTCTCTTACTATATATAATTATATACAAATATACTGGCACTCTTCCATCTTTTCAATACTTTTATATTAAAATGACAAAATAAATTGGTGATGTCAAAATTAACGAGTCAACCATGATAATAAATTTTTGAAATGTTAACATTTTATTAAATTATTAATTTTTAAGTCATTTTAACCCATACGCAGAATGATGTTCACTGATTATCCAGTAATAATCCAGTTCCCACTTCCTGCTGTCTTATGAAGTTTTATTTTTCTTGACCTTTTTCTCTATTAATAATTCCATCATTTAAATTACTCTCCAATGAAAATGTGGGAGAATTGTTCTCTCCCTGGTCTTATTTGTCTTTCTGTTCCAGCATTAGTTTTTTTTTTTTGTTATATTCAGGAATGTTGATCAATATTGATTGCTAAGGATCTTAAATCATCTACTACAACCCTGTGATTAATCAGATTAATTAATTGAATTATTAGACTAGATTATTTGCCCTGAAAAGCAAAATTGATTCTCTGTTGATTACAGCACTGTATCTTTCTATGTACTTACTTCATTAGATTTTTTTTCCATTGGGAAATCAATTAACACAATGTTTAAACATGAATATATTTGGTTTTTAGCTGGAGCAGATGGATCTGGAGGTGCGGGAGATCCCTGTCCAGAGTCGAGCCATGTACAACAGCAGGCTGAAGAGCTACAAGCAAGAAATGGAGAAGCTTGAGAAAGATTTTGTAAGTACCTCAACACTTTACAGTTACCTTATTGACACACAAATCCTCAGTGCTGAATCAACACAGGTCTCTCATCTGTCTTTACTTACAAGTGATGATCTTTAAAGGTGGTATTGTTAAGTTTATGCTGCTCAATTTGGTCTGTTGTATATATGATAAGATAAGATGTATATCATATATATTGTGTAATATACAGTACGTATACATACAGTACATACAGTGTATATATAATTAACTCTTTTTGAAATTTGTATGGATTTCGAGTTCAAGAATTTTCCAAGAACACAGCAAACAAGCCAACATACAAGAAGCAGCTGCGTGGTTGGTGGACATCACGCTGGCGATGTGTTAGTGCACCGCAGACACATGCACACTGAGATCACAGAGGGAATCTCTCTGCCAAGAAACTTTGCGTTCCTCACCACGGGCCTTTAATTGGCGGACGTTTAATCTTTTCACTTTCTTTCTCCGCACATTTCTTCCGCTGCATCTTAAAGCAGCTGACGCCTGCTGTGGTTGATATTGATGGAAATTTCCATTATTTGCATTTTCATGGCTGTCCGGGGCTAAATGGTTATGTACATTATATTAGAGTAAAAATAATCAAAAGTCTCCTGAACATTTTTAGCAAAGCTACAGCAGTTGATATATTTTTTATTGTTACAAAAATTCTGTTCAAAAATTTAGTTGGTTTTTTAAAAAACATTTTATTTTGCCTGATTATAAGCAGTTCAAGGAGCAGAACTGACGTTTATTTAACAAGCTGTCTTTTCCAGAAATGGCATTTACATAGAAGTCCAGTTTACAGTGGGTCTTCTCCTCAGGTTATATATATATATATATATATATATATATATATATGTATGTATAAGAAAGCCCACAATGCTGAACTGAGACTGGATGAAGCAGTCGCTTGAAGAATAAAAAAAAAAAAAACCCCACTGGCGGTGAATCCCCAGTTTGACAGTCACGTTAACTTTTACACCTCCGTATGTGACTGGGTTGGATCAGTGCACATTAAAAATAGGACCATCCACTTCTCTCGCTGGCATCTAGTAGATCTGGTCTCCTGTAAATCTTTGCAGAGTGTTCAGAATGCAAGACCTTCAGCCCCCTCAGATGTGCCAAATGCTACAGCCGAGTTCAGCCTCTCACTTCCTGCAGGCCCAGGGAGGACATGACACTCTGCTCGATAGGCATCTGGTAGAAGAAAAAAAAAAGAAAAGGCAATCCCTTTTCTTTTTAATGTAAAAAGCACTGTCTTTGTTGTGCTTTCTGCAGATATCAAGGCTTTTTCCATCCTCTCACCGCCCAACACCTCCAAACCCACCCCCCACTGGCCTCCCACGGGTGTCTCCCCCTTTAACCTGTTCTCTCATCCTCGCATTCACCCGTGGTTTGAAGTCTTTCTACCAACGGTGTGCCAGCTTGAGACCTCATTTTTGTTCCTTCCCAGACAGGGCCCGAGTCGACCTCAGTAGCACAGCCATTTCATCCAGGAAGACCACTTAACACATAGTCATCCAGGGGTGTGTGTGTGTGTGCTGACAGCTTCATTGCACTAATGGAGGGGACAGTGGGAGTCGGAACCCTGCAGGGACACGACAAGTGCGTAGTGCAGCAGAAAAAAGTGATGCCAGTCTGTCCTAAACAGTATGTCAACCCCAAAGACCAATGGGAATGGTGCTAGTTCTTCGCCTGGGAAAGTTTTGAAGAAGCTTTCATCAAACACACCCAAGGCCGAAAGCTTAATTTTAAGTAATTTAAGAAGTAATCAGCAGGCACGCTTAAAGGACAACAGCTGCTCTGTCACACTGATAGAGGTGGTGAGTCACAAATGACTGCAGTTCTCAGTCCCATTTTTTATATATGGTCTACATTGCGAAAAGCTCAATCACTAAGATTATTATTTTAGTCACTATATATATATATATATTAAAGCACATTTGAATAGGCCAGCAGACCATTCAGTGGTGAAGCTAATAGACATTAAATAATGACTTGGTCTAAATGACGCACTGTATAGTTATGATTTGATTTCAAATATGCAAAACGCTCGTCCCCGGCACAAAGTTTCAATCCGTTCAAGTTATTTTTTTTGTTAATTTAATTTAGCTTCGCCTAAGAGTTGTTGCGGTTTAAATTGTTTACTTTGAGCTGCAGATTACGGCGTGACTGTGCGTCCTTTCGGACAGCAGAGGGCGGTATTGCTCTAACAATTCATTCATGCACACCAGGAGAAACACGGACGCATTCACTTGACATTCACATACATGATTGAAAAAGCTCTATTTAATCACTTATTACTTTTTACATTCTGTTTTTATTTATTTATTTTTTCATTTAAAAAAGGAAAAAACAACATCGACCTTGTGAAAATAATTACAATACACAGCATCTTAAAGCATGCAAGGTTCCAGACGTTTATATTTGGATGTTGTGTTCCACCCTAACTCTACATGATCTAAAAGTTAATCAACACAGCCATAGAATTTAACAATGATCAAATTCCCTTATGTTTGTGTGGGTCAGCTGACTTTTTGTTGTCATTTCACCAGCCGAAGCACCAAATGTTAGTGGCTTTTGTGTCTGATCCTTGACTCCGATGAAGGTTAATTGCTTAGTAATAACATATCAAGCTGTCAATAAATGTTGTATGCTCCCGACTTTTTGTCCTCAAGTAGAGCTGTGTGCCACAAGTGGTCAAGGCAGTTCTAAGTTACATCTACGCTGTATCTGCCCCTTACAGTGGGGAAAGATTATTTCTGTCTTCAATCAACCGCTGTAGTTAGAAGCTGTATGTCTGTTCATCATCAACTGTGAAGATGTCACCTGTTGCCATTTATTTGAGTTCCTTTAACAATGCCATTTAATAGGAGACTGCTTAAAAAAAAAAAGCATCTTCGGAAATGATACCAAGTATGTTATTCAAGGTAATTACTTTTAACTGAAGTACTGTTGACACATTAATAGGCTTATTCAGGAATCCTGAGTGAATGACTCTTCTCATTCCCATCTCCATTTATTTCAGATGATATTGCAAAACCCGATTCAACCTGGGTTTTTCAGTATCATTTGCGAGGTCAACTGTCACAAGGATGCAATTTATTTCCTTCTAATGTCTATGGTTTATTATTTAGATCAGAAGTCATGGTCAAGTGGGACACCCTCTTCTTTTGGTGAATACCTTTCCAGTGCAGTTGCTGCACTGTCTTTTCTCAGATAGATAATTACCATCTATCCAAAGAGTCGGCCAACCTTGGAACGTTGAACCATTTATTCGACAGGTACACTGTAAGGATGGAATGTAAAAGCTGATGATACCAATTTGATTTTGTTTAGTTATTTTCAGCCTGGATATATCGGTTTCATGATTGCTTTTCAAGAGACTTCCTGCAGATAAATCGAAACTTGACGTTCATTCATCCCTGGCTGACATTGACTTCTCTATTTAATGAATTGGATCTTTCAAGCAAAACTTGTTAATGCGGAGAAACGGTTTAATTGAAAAGCGGACAAGGCAATAAGATTAGCTGAGGATGAGGATGATCATGAGGGTGATGATGATGATGATTAAACGGCATGTGATTTAGATAAGGACATTTTTATTTTCCTTCCTTAATGAACTCATTAACTCCAGCTAGCCAATGTCAATGGTGTATTTTTGTAGAGCACTGTGATCAGAATAAAGTTGTTACAGAAGAAAAAAAGAAGAAACGAATGTCTGTTGACGACCACACACGGCTCAGGCTGCCTGTTTAAGTTGTAAGAATTTTCTATTTTAGGAGTTTTCCTTGAGCTTTTTCTTGTTCTGCTTCCAAACCCTTGAGCTACTTGTTGTATCCAAGAGCCATGTGTAATGTCTTCAACATTGGCAATAAATTAACATTCAAGGTTTTTTTTTTTCCGAATAAAATATAAAATATAGGTTATTGTTTCGGTGCGAATTGTTGCCGCTCCATGGGTAACAGAGTTCAGCATCTGAACTGTTCTTTCCTCTTCAGTCAAAGCAAACGGACGTCTAATGTGTTTTTCAAGAGCATCCTCCGTGTGTAACTGAGCCAAATGCATGGTGATGAGGACGATATTCAGTTATTCACCGCACATGTGTTTTGACATATTATTTCAATGGGCAGTCTTGGATGATTCAAGGTCACGGGGACTGTCCGTCTTTGGCTCATCACGGTCTTCCACTAATAAAAAGTTTGGCTCAATTATGGATTAGGAAAGGAGGCGTACGAGTTTAGAGTCAGTGTTCGTCCTGGGTTAGCCTGACTTGGTAAGAACTACTTTCAAACCCAACTTTAGCCTTTTGTTTGGGTTTGATGAGAGATGTAAGTACCACAGGACTGAAGACAAAAGTAGTCATTATTAGATTGCTCTGTTATAATCCAGCTTGAAGAGGATTCTTGTTGTTTGGCCCTTGTCCTTATTACAGCTGCTTTTCAAACCAGAACACATCAGATCAGTGCTTAGATGTTAAACGCTGTTTGCCTCGGCTTACAAGTTCCTGTTAACCACACTGAGATTTACCCTGCCTGCTGTTTAACACCTCATCAATGACAACAAACTCTAATCATTCCAAAAAGTCATGAAAGTCCCTTCATTAACAGAAGCCCCTATATTTCCTCTTTGGGCGGAACGTTGGGCTTACAACCTAAACAAACCTTCATCTTTGCTTTTAAATCTCCTCTTTCATTTGACAGTTGTTTTGTGTAACGCTGTCTTGCTGTAGCCGTTTGTGGGTTTTGGACCCCCGGAGGCCTTTCCATGTCTTGTCCGTGGACACTCAGATGGGATTTTCGGCGGATTAGCCTATTGTCACTCATGGGGAAACTGTTTCATGGATTTGATTCTTTAGTGGCAGCCAAGGGTCAAAATAAGGTTGAAGGACACTTTGTAGGCAAATTATTAAAACAGCAACAGCATATTTAGCTATTTTATTAAAATTTTCATTGTTTGTAGTGCATTTTAATATTGCTATTTGATATTTCCAGAGA